ATGGTCCATTAAAGGCAGCAAATGCCCCACTGAACCCATGTGAGACTCCCCCACCACCACCACTCCCTCTCCCCTCTGCATCCATTTCTAGCCCGGGCCTCTGAAGAGGAGCCCCGACATCTGTTGTCTGAAGGGTAACAAAGGAGTTGTGTTCTCATTGTCTGCGTGACCTTCCTAGCGGATGAGGAGGAGAAGAGGGGCACGTTCCGCGTGCAGATGAGTGCTGTGAAAGAGCTCTTCACACTCATTTTATCCCCGTGTGTTGACCCAGACTGCAAAGCACAATTGGGCTTCTTAGCACATGAGCTCGGTACAATGGGGTCCTTTAGTGTCATGTTCTGTTTCAACAACTTGATTCATCTCTGGGAGGCATTACAATTTTCCATGCACATGATTTTGAAAAAAAAAAAAAAAAAGGAAAAAGCCTCCCATTAGTTGCAACATGTCTTCCATTTGGAATGGTGAAGGAGATGTTTAGAGACAGCCATTGCCAAAATAGATGGGCCCACGACCGTAAAGCCTTCACGGGAACCATGGTTGTTTCATGGGGGGGGGGGGGGTGTTTGTTTGTTTATTTTTGTATAATACAACTTCCTTGGTGCTTCCCTTCTGACAACTGCTTCAGAAACATGTTTCTCGGCAGCTCATCTCTTCTTGTTTGTCCCCAGCCCCTTTCAGAGTATCTAGTTTCTGCTTAAAACTGCATGATGATCTTCCAACCTGCTCTCTCTCTTTCCTTCTCTCCCTCTCTCCCCTTTTTCGTCCTTCTCTCCCTCCTTCCCTCCCTCCCTTTATTTATTTTGCAAGAAAGAAAAAAAAGTGAGTTCCTGGCTGTCCTAGAACTCACTCTGTAGACCAGGCTGGCCTCAAGCTCAGAGATCCCCCTGCCTCTGCCTCCCAAGTGCTGGGATTCAAAGCATGCTGCCATTTCTTTAAGAAGGGGAATTTATTATGAGGGCCTTGACATTATATTTCATCATGTGGATTCACTGATTTTTCTTAATCCCATTTCCTAAATTATGGTTCAGACATTCCCCTCAGAACCTAAGTCATGTGTAAAAACTGGATTTTGTTTTTTAATGAGTGTTATATCTCTCAGGCCTCTAGGGTACCACTTAGCACCTCATGCCGTGGAAATATCTTAAGCCCTGGGGGGGGGGGGCGGGGAGAAGAAGCCCTTGAGCTTCATCAGCAGGGAGCATAACAACAACTGTGATGTCCTGGAGACTGAGTGCACTAGGCAGTGAACGAAACCTGCTGACAGAGCTCACCGACACGCTCTCCTGGCTGCTCTTTACCCCATCCTTACTCTGTCGGGCACAGAAATTAAATAATCTGCCCATTGTTCACAAAGCGATCAGTGGCACCAGGAACGAAGGGCAGGCAATTCTATTCTAGAGCTGTTTGTTGTCCTCCCACACTTGGCTGTAGCCTCTCCCAGAACCACAGAACTCCACATCATTATGCAGACAAACAAAGCATCATGACCGTATGGATGACTACTGGCCATCACCGTGTGAGGCTGGTTAAGCACAGTGACCAGTCAGAGTGCCGGGTTTCTCTAATGCAATCACAGGAGTAAGAATAGGTAACTACGTTCCCTCCGAACATCGAAGGCCTCTTTCCGTGATTGTGGTGAAGTGCCTGAAATCAACACATTAACAGGAGGAGCAGTCTTTCTGGGCTCACACTTCCACAGGCACTTGGCCCTGTCTCTTTAGGCCTGTGGCAATCTCAGGGCAGACGCATCTGTGAGAGGAGCCCTGTTCACCCCATGGTGGCCAAGAAACACAGAGAGAGAGTAAAGCTCCAGTGGCCCAAAGAGCATGGCTTTGAAGGAAGCTAAGTAACTTAGCTTCCTTCTCTGAGGCCCCAGCTCCTCAATGTTCCACCACCTCTCATACTGTCACAAGCTGGGGACCAAACCTTCAACACGTGGGCCTCCCTGAGGCATTTAAAACCCACACCATAGCAAATTCCTGTTTTTCATAAATACCAGATGTTGCTTGGTTACACCAGTAACTGGGTTATCTTAGGGTAACAGGATGACAGGGTCCAGGTGGATTTTGAGATATTATCGAGCAATTAAATATGGATCCCTTGGAACTGGAGATACAGGTGGTTATGCGGCAACCATGTGAGTCCTGGGAACCAAACCCTGGTCCTCTGTACGAGCAGCAAGAGCTCTTAACCACTGAGTCATCCTTCCAGCACAGTGATGCCAGGTTTGGTCATCAAGAAGACTGTTCTAAATGTCTTCAAAAGAATGTGAGTGTAAGGCCACCCCAAAACTCATCCCTTCAGCTGTTCTTGATCGGCGACCAGTCTTCTCTCTGAAACTTATGTAATTTACCTAAGCCCAAACCCTTGCAGAGTTTATGAGGCCCTTGCATATCTGGCCTATGGTTAACCTTGAGCTCTGAGGCTCAGCTTTTCCCAGCCTGCCTTATCGCAGAGCATTTGTTCTCCGGAGGCAAAGTTGTTCTGTCCCCTCCACTCCTGCTGTTCCCTTCACCGCTGTTCTCTCAGCCCGGTACATGTTTCCTTAGCCTTGGGTCATGGGCACGACTTCCTGTAGAAAACTCTCCCCAACCTCCTGAGACACAAGCAAGGTCACTCCTGAGCCCAGGTGGCCCTGTGGTCCCTGCCAGAGCAGGCATCGCTCCACAGTGTTAATTGTTTGTTTTCTTTGTTTCTCCACCAAGCTGTGAACCCAATGCTGGGCCACTTAACACGTATCTCCCAGTTCAGTAAGTGCTCAGTAAACACTTGTCAAAACAACTGTGAGCTAATGAGTAAAGTTAAATTCCGTTTTCCCTTTCAGTAAACTGTGGATATGGGAATAGAACCTTTGTTTGTTTTAGAAAGTTGTATTTGCTTAAAGAAAATGATGAGCTTTCTTCTCCATGTAAACAGCTGCAGTTAAACCCTAGGTCGCTTAGTATATGACAAATCCTAAAATCATTCACTGATATGCCCCAGTTCAAGAAGTGTCTTCATATTGAGATTTTAATTATGTTGCTACTTTTTTTAAATAAGTATCAACTGCTATACTATGTCAGAGTATTTATGGAGACGCAGGTATTTATTCTAGAAGCATTTAACTTGTCTGCCCATAGAACACCACCTTGTATTAAACAGAGATTAGGGAAGGAAGGCATACCTGCAGCCCATGATTTTAGGTGACAGCATCACTGAGGTGAAAAGTCAGTGAGCACATACACAGAGCCCTTTAGGATACATGGCTTCCCGCCAGTCTTTAGTCAGCCATGAGAAATGAAAGAAAGACAACATCCCCACTTGAAACAAACTGCCTCAAAAAAGAAGGTCAAATACCCAGTGTCCAAATACTGACTTTTGTAGGACAGACAACCCACAGGAGGGACCTGCCCATTATGGCCTTGAAGACAGGCCATCTTGTGGTATCTGTGTGGGAGACACAGTGATGTCCCATTTCCTGACAGATGGACCACTGTCTCTCCAGAGTTTTGTTAGGGGAAAATCCCGTCTAGGAAAGGGAACTGCTGCCTCTGTCTGAAAGGCTCCCACCCTCTTAGGAGAGCTGAAAAACTCACAATGACAATTGAGAAAAACATATGAGTTCTTTGCTTTACATTGAATCAAAGATATCTAGGTTCACGTTAAGAAGGGTAAATTGCCATCGTGGGGACCATTAGTTTGTTTACCCAGCATAGAATTATGCCCTCTGTAAACAGGAATATCAAATAGCATAAAAAGCTGAGTGATTTACATTTTCTTTTTGATTAGAGGATTGCATCCACTGTCCTCAGCAAGGAAAAATCTCTCCCATTTAGCTTTTGAAGATCAAAGAGGCCATTAAATATGCCATATTACCAGCTTTTTTTTTTTCTTTCTTTCTTTTTCGGTTAAGACTGGGGGCTACTTTACAAATTGAGGCTGTTATGGCAGATGGGAGGACATTATTTGAGGTCCAGTTTACTTTCCTCAGACAGGATCACGTCCTTAACCTTAATTTCGTGAGACTGTCCTAGAACTCAAGACCCACGAGGACCTGTCTGCTGAGGCTCACCTGCATGGCTGTGACAGCCAGGGCCCTGAGCCACAGTCTGTTCTAAGCCTGTGGGGTTTTCTGCAGAATGCTTGATAAACATCCACAGATAAGAGGACTGGAGCCCAAAATCCCTGAAAAGAAAGAAGAGCCTGTGTATGTAGATATTCAGTCTGGATAAAAGCCTGACGTTTCCTCCCAAGAGGAGAAATTCACATTGGCATTATATACCTCCCTCCCTAGAGATAAGAACTCGAATATGCATAGAACTAGCTAAGGTGTAAATTGTTAAGCTTTTCCTTCCCACAGCCCACCTCTCTCTCTCCCTTCTTTCTGTTTTGAGACAGGGTTTCATGTAGTCCAGGCTGAACTCCACATACCTTGTAGTCAAGGTTGACCTTGAACTTCTGATCCTCCAGCCACCTCCACCTCCCTAGTCCTGCCTAATGCTAGGGATAAAATATGGGGCTCCATACATGGCAGGCAGGTACTCTATCAACTGAACTACAAGCCTAAGCCGTCCAATGTGAATCGTACTTTTATCTTCAGCAGCAGAAATAACAGATCGCCGTTTGTATGCATAAGCAATAGGACTCTACGAACCAGAGAGGCACGCTGGCTTAACATTGCAGACATCTGTTTTTGTTTTGTTTTCTTGCTTTTAGGATTTAGTTGGCAACCATTTTTACTACAGATTTCAGTGAGCTTGGGTAATTAGATCTTTGCTGTGGTTCTAATTTGAGTCTTAGATGCACCCTCACCATCTAGAGAATGAAAGGGAAATTAAGAGTACCGGGTCTGAGACTGAATTTGAATAAAATAGTGAAGCGAAATCGAATGAGGGAGTTAATTTTTTTTGTGTGTGAACATTTTATTGGGTCTGTCACAGTTGGGGACTGTCACTTTAGGTGAAACCCACTGGGAATTTACTTTAATTAAAGACCTCTCGTTTCATTTTTGCTTCGGACAGCCAACCTCAGGTAGAAGACAAATATTCAGACCTCCGATATGATCCCAACTGGAAGAATAAGAAAGAGGAGGAGCAGCCATTGACTGTGGAAGCATTGCCAGGGTCTGCAGATAGCTCTTCAGAAAACCTGCCTTTGGCTCCACTCTACCCTTCCAGGGAGCCATCCATCAGACAGCCATCCGAGAAAGGAAGCGAGAAGAGGAGCGCTCCAAGCGAAGCTTCCTTACTTGGAAGCGAATTTCTAAGCCGGGACTATGAGAACGACCCCCGCCAAAATGAGTCCTTTTCCGAACCAAGCGACAGCGACAAGGAGGAAAAATCCAGCGACCTGTCTCAGTACCCAAAGAGTTCAAGCTCACACAACGAAGTTTTCCTGCCAGGGTCCCGTGGACGGCGCAGAAGGAAGTCCAAGCAACATTTTGTGGAAAAAAACAAGCTGACTTTGGGATTACCCACTCCTAAAACAGACTCTTACCTTCAGCTTCACAACAAAAAGAGAGGAGACACTCGCCTCGAACAGGTGAGTAGCAGCAGCTTAAACATCTCTGCTGAAGCTGCCCTGGGTGGCTCTCCTTTCTGGGCGATGATGTCATAGTAAAGCTTCAACTGGGTAAAGCGTCACCTCTTTCCTCTTCCCCTCCTTCCTCCTGTTCTTTTTCTCCCTCCTGCTTTCGTTTCATTTAGTCAGGGGAAGGGGGGGTGCATATGTATGTATTTGGTCGTGTGTGAGGTCAGCTCACAAGAGTCACTTCTTTTCTCGCTCCTTGTGGATCCTGAGGATCTACCTCAAGGCTTGGTGGTAAGTGGCTTTAGCGGCTGCACCGCCTTGCTAGCCCACCTGCTAAATAAAGCCCACCTGGGGTCCACCGAGCTGTAACCGCTACACTCAATGACTATCCCTAACATGTCCCCATTCAAAGACCCATGGAATACTTTAAATGTTTATGTGCACGAGTATTTTGCCTGCGTGTGTGTCAGCATACCGTCTATGTGCCTTGGAATTTATTTCTGCTGTGTGTTCTAATAGAAGAAGTGCAGGGCTGAGCATTTAATTCCCTGTGTTGATTGTCTCTGTTCTCACCTCACCATTGGTTGCCACCTTACTAAGCACCCCAGCACATTGGAGGTGACGTGACACATTCACCCCTAGAACCACAGCTTGCCTCGGAAGTGATTCTACACCCAGATTCTGTGTGGGTGCTGGGTGCTGAGCCGGGGGGCCGTGAAGGGGCGTTGTGAAGCAGAGCACAGCACGGAAGATTTTTCTCTTTAGTTCTTCAAATGACCCTATCTCCTACCAGTTCCATAATCGCTGCACTGTCCCTCATTGCCCTGGGCAAGTGGTGCGAAATGATCACAGCTTAGACTCTCCATTATGTAAAATTAGAACAATAATAAATGCCCTCTTTCCCTCATCTGATCATCTTGAGGATAAGTTATTTCCCAAATGATGGACCTGTTGGACACCAGGCACAGTGTCTCATCACTTGAGACACTGAGACTGAAGGATGGCAAATATGAAGCTAATCTGGACTATGGAGCAAGGCCTTGTCTGAAACAGGAACACACAAACCCATTTGCATACATATATGCACAATTTATACACACATTTCACATTTACAACAACAACAAAAAGAAATGCTGTTATAACAAGTAAATCTAGCTTTATTTCATTCACACAAATAAGGACCCTATCAGCTCACCTCCTGATGAATATGCCATATGTCCTATACACTTAAGTCAAGAGCTTGGGTGATTGGCAGTTTTACACCCCTACTCGAGAACACCTTGGAATTCATCACCTGTAAGGGTGGAGTCCCTTTTCAGGATTAGAAATGTGACATTTTTGCATTTGTAACTAACAATAAAACATAGGAATGAGCAGGGTGTGGTAGCACACACCTATAATCCCAGCACTCGAGAAGGCAGGAGCAGGTGGATATCTGTGAGTTCGAGGCCAGCCTGGTCTACAAAGAGAATCCAGTACAGCCAGGGCTACACAGAGAAACCCTGTCTTAGAAAAAACAAAACAAACAAACAAACAAAAAACCCCACAGGAATGGGTACAGAATATTTAACTGAATTATCAAAACAGCTAAATTTCATTAGTTTTCAACATTTTTTTATTGTTTTGTTTCATAAAACTTATGTGAAATTTCAGCCAGGCAGTGGTGGAGCACGCCTTTAATGCCAGCACTCGGATAGCAGAGGCAGGTCTACCAAGTGAGTTCCCAGTTATCCAGAGCTACACAGAGAGACCCTGTCTTGAAAAACACAAACAAGCAAAAATACTGTTGTGAATTTTCAATTTTCACTTGATTCATTATTTAAAATATAAATAAATTCAAGAGTGAAAAATGTCTGTTGCTGGTCATCTCTCCCAGCCTAGAATAATACTTTTCATTCTGCTTTGAATCAGTGTCTTGCTTTGTAGTTCAGGCTGCCCCAGGGCTAGCCTCAAACTCATAGCAATCATCCTGCTTCAGCCCCTTGAGTGCTGGGATTACATCTAATTCTTGTCACTACTTTCAGAGGTGTCCCTAGACAAGCTCATGAAAGAGAGGCAATGGTGAGGCCAAAAGAAGAAATTATATTTCCAGTATAAGGGAGAAAAGATTTACCATGAGCTTTGTGGCTAACCCCTTAACTGCTAATTTGCATAATTGTTACAGGTCCTCTTGGCAGTCAGTCTTAGGGTGTGTTGGTTGTCAGTGTTCTCACAGACTGGTTTTTCTTTTTGTTTTGTCACAGAAGAAACTATAAATTCACATTAGATTTTCTGTCCTTGAGCTCTTGACTTGCTGTTTGAAGGAGATGTTCACTTTGCCCTGGGTTCAAATGTTTTTTGTTTGTTTTTTGTTTGTTTTGGCTGTTCTGGCTCACTTTGTAGAGCAGGCCGGCCTCGAACTCACAGAGATCTGCCTGTCTCTACCTCCCCAAGTTGCTGGGATTACAGGTGTGCGATACTGCACCCAGCAAGTTCTGTCTTGATTCTGGTTGCTTATAGCATTTGAAACCATTTCTTCATCATTTCTCCAAGATGGATTGTTTTTCCTTACTCTTCTTGTTCTTTTTTAAAAGGTACAAATGTATTTGGCCTAACAGTGCCATAAGTGTGATATGTGTCCACTTGTTTTATTGAACACAGTAATACAAAAATGTGTTATATATGACCATGCGACAGCTTCCCATTGAAGTCTTGTTGAGTTTCTGTTTGCTTGCTTGTTTGTCTTTGCCTTTCTTTCTTTCTTTCTTTTTCTTTCTTTCTTTCTTTCTTTCTTTCTTTCTTTCTTTCTTTCTTTCTTTCTTTCTTTCTTTCTTTTCTTTCTTTCTTTCTTATTTTGGTTTTGAAACAGTTTCATGTAGCCCAGGCTGTCCTGAACTCTTTATATACCTGAAGATGGCCTAAAACTTCTGATCTGGTTTGTTTGTATTTTTAATTAAAGTTTTAAAAAATGTTATTAAGTTCATAATAAGCAAGCACAATAAAGAAAGCTGTGGAAATTAAGAGTAATGCTGGGTCTGGGAGGAGGGTGATGGCTCAGTGGGTAAGAGAACTTGCTTTGCAAGTTTCAGGACCTGAGTTCAAATCCTTAGGACCCACATAAAAAGCCAAGTGTGGCTAATGTGTTCCTGTGACCTCCGCATGTGAAGCAGTAAGAACAGACAGACCCCAAGAGCTCACTGCAGGCCCACCAGCCCAGACAAGACAGCAAACGCTAAGTTCAGTGAGAGACCCTGTCTCAAGGCCATAAGGAAGGGAATAATATAGAAAACACTCTACGTCATGTGCTCACCTCTGCCTGTGCATAAACTGTTACGCTCCCATCTACCCACAACACAACACAACACAACACAACATAACACACAGGTGAGCAATGAATGGTGGAATCCTACTGGAGATTACAATATATTACAAGTCAAATCAGAATATTTAATATATATGTAGGCACAAATTTTGAATTGTATGGCAAAATAAGAAACACTTCAGTTTTCCTAACAGCAATCTGGGTAGCCTCCAGTGAAAAGAGTAAACTGAATCCAAATGCTCATCATACAAAATAACTTCCAAGTAGGTAAACCTCAACTGTCAAAACACTAGAAAAAACATAGGAGGATTCTGTCCAAACCCTGAAATATTTTTTAAAAATCTAGAAACCTTAAGAGATTACTAATTTGGCTTTGTGTATAACAAAAACAACTATGAGAGAAAACTTTAAACAACATAAAATAGGAGAAACAAACTAGGAAAATTTTTTCCTAATTTATACCATAGGTAAAATTCTATCTCTAATACTTAAAGCTATCCTTTTCCGTGTCAATTAGCAGGAGACTGAAGTCCCCATAGAAACATACAGAAAAGCTCAGATTGTCACAGAGAAGTTAAAACAGGTGGCTATTTAGTGCTTTGTGAACATATTCAACATCTGTCACTACAAGATAAGAACAGATTAATCCTACATAGAAATTCATTTCCACCTATAATTAATCAGCAGTGGACCTGTTGATAAAAATGCTCAGTAATGCCACGGAGAGAAGAAATCAGCATAACCAGAATAAAGGATGATTTATGGCTATGGAAAATACAATTACATTCCCAGAGAAACTACAACATAATGTCTAAAAGCAGCCACATAGCTTGGCTCTGCCCTGTGCTAGCTGTGTGACCTTATGCGGGCTATTAAACCTCTTTGTGCCACAGCTTTCTTGTCTATAAAGGAGATAATAATAGTATTTTCCTCATAGGGTGGTTAAGAATATCAAATGAGTAGGCTGATGTACAGAGAGGGCTTACATTAGAGCCTGACTCAGAGTAAGTGCTGCAAATGATTTTGTAATTAGTATTTTTATTTGGCCCAACATACTCCACTCCTAGGTATTTGTCCTAGATAGATGTATGCAGTCTTGAAAAGAAACACCTCTACAAGATGATTCATTTCCACCTTGTTTGTGATATCAAATGATCAGAAGCCACCCAAATAGCCTTCGTTTTGGAGGGAGTAGTTAAGGAAGTTACAGTAGGTCTGCAGGAGAGAGACATTATGGCCATTTAAGAAATGAAGACTCACTCTGAAATGCTTTGGTCAATTTACCAGGATTTATCAGTAAGAGAAATACAAGGAATGAAACAGGCAGATATAAAAGAGAAAAAAGAAAAAAAAAAACAGAAGGAGTAAAAATATATGTCAAGTTGACATGTCCCACACAGCTGTAGATGATGCAGGAAGATTATAAATTTTATGTCTAGACTCGACTGTACAGTGAGACACTGTGGAACAACACTGCAGAGGTGATCAAGAGAGAGGCGTGGGAAGAAATTGGCAGAGCTTTCCACCTTGTGCCTTTTTATGCCTGTTGGTTTTTCTTTTTCTTTCTCTTCTGGATTGGCTTGTTTTGAGGCAGGGTCTCACCACATAGCCCTAGCCGTCCCGGAACGCACATAGATCTGCCTGTCTCTGCCTTTGCAGTGCTGGGATTAAAAGCCAGCTGTGTCTGTTGTCTTTAACCACACTTACATGC